CGATTTGAATCGTTTTGTCTTCGTGACTTTTAGTCACCGGGATGCAAAATTTCGTGGACGGTTGTCTTGTATATTATAATAGGAAAGTTTGGCATAGCGGTTAGGGCAAACGGGAAAACGACAAAACAGGAATTCTTACCCTCCGCCTCCAACCATTTTAATACTTGAGTTATTAGTTTAGTACCAAACATAAACATGAGACTTCCTTTTTTATTTCTTTCACAGAAAAAAATTAAGTCAAATCAATGTTAATTGTCGCCCTTTGCCGTTTCCATTAAAGGCAGGTTTAAACTCGCATTTTTTTTGTTGTTTGCAAATTTACACGCTGCATTTACAGGTTCCTTGTTAATCTTAAGATAAATTAGAGTTGGATATTCAAGGTCCATCTTTTTTTCTGAGTGTTTAACTTAAAGCAATGCCACGTTTTTGCTGCGATCCGTCCTAAATGTCTGTAGGGTCTTTTATGTATCGATGTGGGTAACATTGAAATTTGCGAATACATACCTTTAAGGTTTTAGAATCTATCAAGATTGCTCCTTGAGGGTTTTCCAAAGATCTTGTGCTGGCAATGAGAGCCAAGAACAGAAAATAGTCTGTCCATTTGTCCAGTAAGATCTAGAATCAAACGATTTGAATTTTTCAAGAATATTATTTTATTTGTCACTTTCCGATGCTAAGACTGCCTAACAAATACTCTATGGTAAGTTGTGATAGGGTTAATGCTATTTCACTAACTGAAAAAATAGTAACATTCTTAGCTTCAAATTAAAAATCTGGCAGTAGAGATGCAGGAAAAAAAAAATGCCATAAAGTTTAAATGCTTTCTCCCCCTGACTTAACAATTACTGACCTTGCCCATTAACTCTCTCGGCCATGGACTTTGTAGATCGCTGCTCCTTAGTTCTTCCGTGCTGTCCCACAAGGCTTTATAGGCACCATTTGGTTCACCCGGTGTCGTGTTCTGTTGCCTTACGAAGCTTACCTTCTGGATCAGGTGATTCCCGTAGTCTTCCAGCGTTGTATTCTTACTTCGCTTTATGGGTCTAAAGTAGATCAATGCGATTCTGCTCTTAATTAACTAAAAGGTGAATGTAAATATGGGAAAAAAGCTGCAGAGGCAGTAAGTAAAATTAAGGGAAAACCGTTTTCTCCCCTCGATGCACGTGGCTGAAAAGACAAACAACCCGAGCATTGCTTGAAAATTTGCGAAGAGGGGAAAGTCAGTAGAGTCTCAATACTCCTTTATCGCTCATACATAAATCTAAAAAAGTCATTGCAGCAAAACTGAATAAGATAGATATTGACAATAGATACAAACTGTATTTCCTCGAATAGGCGCCCGGGTGCTTATTTAAAACTTCGGCGAGAAAGAAGTGGGGAGGGGGAGGGGGGCGCTTATTGGGAGGAGGGCGCTTAATCGAGGGGGACACTTATCGGGTTAGCACAGCGATAGCACAACAATTCAAAAGAAAAACTCCGCGAGAACACAGATAAAAATAACGAAAACGAAAAAATAGATATTCTTCCGCACTGATTCCGCTCTAGTTGAAACTTAAAAAATTGTAGATAAAGTGGTCACAGAAACAGGTTTTTATTGTATTCCTTCTATTCAAGAAAGTGAAGGAGGAGGGGGAGCACTCATTCGAGAGGGCAGAAGAGGGGGAGAACTTGTTTGACATTATGGCTTAGTTGCTTAGGGGTGAGGGCGTATCTGGGGTAGGGCGCTTATAAGAGTGCGGGTGCTTACTCGAAGAAAAACGGTATACAAAAAAGAACACATAAACACTAAAATTTTTGCGTAAGCTTATAACTTTTCGCACAATCATTGTAGATGCGGTTGAGTTTGTTTTTGATCCTATGGTTCTCCTTCCTTAACATAAACCAACAATCCAAATTCCAAATCGATCTGGAACAGTTGAAAAGAAGAGCCACCTGGTGTAATTTCCACCTGCTAAATTCCCAGTTATGCAGTTACTTATCATTGTTTTTATTCTTTCACCTGGCATATTCCCTCGAACTGGGGAACTGAGTTCTGAAGTTGAAACCCAGATCATAGGATACAATGCTGCATTTTTTTTGTTTCTTTTTGTTCATTCACCATTATGATGTTTATTTGAGAATGTTCTCACCACAAATATGTGCAAGTTGTTATCAGAGTTGATTTCAGTCTAACCAGAGTTATTACTTACACGACCTCGACGTCGGCTTCTTTAAAGATGGCAGTTGAATCCGCTTGGTATTTTTTTTTTTAATGAAAGATAATAAACCTTACGGACACCCTTCTACAGATGGAATAAGAGATAGTCATCAATTAATTATCACTTCCATATTGAGGGAAACCAACTGAACCGTCTGCGTAATAAAACAAACACTTAATCCCTAGGATATAAGGACACAAATTTGCACTCTAAGACACACAGGTAGTAAACATACATCTCACAATGGAAGAGGGGGCTGTACAGTAACCTCTTTTAAAATCGGTAACTCACGGACTCCCGCTGGCGCGCACAAGCATAAGAACATTTTCAGAATTGTGTAATAGTGGCTAGTTCTCAGAGTGAACGATTAGGAACCTTCCTAATGGCCATTTTAATAAGATCTGAAAAAGTTTGAAATTAATTTTAATGCATGAAATGACGACAACACTCAAAGTTCTCACTAAGCCATCCATATGATACAGGTTTTAAGATGCAAATTCTCTCGCTTATGGGCCCCGTCTCACACAGGTTTCTATAACTATATCAAGTTATACGAATGTTCTCGACATCACTCACCGCTATTAACATTTTCGCACACTCCCGACAGGGATACATTGTAACGAAGGCAATTGAACCTTCAAGATCAGCTTGGCCTGCCAGGAGCACAGTGTTGGCCTCCGCGTGGACGACAAGATCATCTTTTTCACCTTTTCTCCAGTTTTCGTCCTTGTTTGGAGTTCCGGGAGGAAATCCATTGTACCCAGCGCTCAAGATCTGCCAAGGGTTATAGGAAGTTAGTCTGTGAAAGGAATGGTTTACCCGCCGCATTTTTCTGTCCAAAATAGCACCAGAATAACATCGGAAAAATCACCACCACAGTTGTTCTGCAACACAGGTTTCTTTTTTTTCTATAATTCTCTTTGAGCATGGTAATGTTTCTAAGTGTGTATTTCCTTACAGATATAACAAGTGATAGCCTACAATATTACTCACCCTGAGTGATTTTGGATGCACAATAACGCATCCCACCTGTAGGCTCGGGTCTTTTGACCTCATGGAGACGCAGAATGCCACATCCCGGTAATACTCGACCCACGTCGACCGCTAACAATTCGAGACAAAGAGAAATTTGTGAGACGAATTTCCATCTTTCTCACTCTAATAAATTCAATGTATTTTAAAGTAGATGGAGAAACAAATGTTTCGAGGTGTTTAATGCAACAGTTCATACGAAAGACGGGGAAGATTACGAGCGTGATAGCTTTCATTTGATGTTTACTGCTGTCGACTGATATCTAACGGAGAAAGAGTACAGACGGTTAATTTTTCAAGGGAGATTTTAAAAGTTTGAACTAGAAAGGAAAATAGAGTCATTTTTTGCTTGTATATTATTAACTAGTATAAATTATCTGTGCATCTTCCTACAAGGTGCTTAATCACTAATAACACGAAGGGAACAAATCCAACCTTCGTCTGCTTCATCGACTTTTTCCTTCCTCTTTCGCTCTTAAGCCAAGCTGCTATGGTAAAAGCCCTTAAGTACGTGCGACAGCGTATCCTGAACATGGCATGTGTAGCTGCAAGTTCCCGTCGAGTTTAACCGCGAGGTTTCAAACCTTTCAAAATAAAAAGTAAATATTCTTAACAGTACATATTTCCGAAAAAAGAAGTAGAATGTAGCTCTTAAGAGCCACAAAATTAGCTTTGGAGTGAACGATACGCCTGGGTAAGACAAGAATTAGTGCTACATTCCGGTAATAATGCGAGACACGAGTGTAATGTGTTTGAATGAAACAGAAAAATGAAAGAAATCCAAAAATAAAGGGATGATAAATTTTCAGTTCGTTTGTCGCGCACTGGTAGCGTTCCTATTTTCATGACCTCTGGCCTTTATTTTTGCGTGATGGACTTTTAATTTACTCGTTTTAAATCTTCTTACGAAATTTTCATTTTCAAAAGTTGTATTGAAGAAGCCAATACAAATTTCAATTTGTTTAAATGGAATTATTATTTATTACGTAATTTTTCGCGCAATCTTGCACTACGGGCCATACTCATAGGTCAGTTTTTCTCCTCAGAAATTCGTCCTCTTCCTTGGCTAAAGGTCTGAAATTAAGTTTGTGTTTAGTAATTCAGCAAAGGTGATAAGAAGCAACTCACCAACCAAGTCGATGCGTAAGCTTCTACATAGATAATTTATTTCAAGTAGGGATTAGTGTCACGCAACGCCGTTTTAGACAACTTATAACCCGCACGATTTTTAAACATTTCATTTCGTTCCTAGAAAATGATGTTCATCGCCGGATAATGCGAGGTATTACATGTCGAGCTTAGCTTTTATTAATGTTTGAGAATCATGAAAAGGATTCCAGGTCCACCATTTTTAAGTCAGGAGTGTTAAAGTTAAATAATCTTTTAACATTTGTGTGAAGAGTTACCGTTAGGGAGACTGAGCTCCAGTTCCATTGGCAAAAGTATAGTAACGCCATATGTATTGATCCTACGGATTAAGATTCTCTACACTATTTGGCGAGCTTTGATACATTATACAAGAATTGTTAGGGCTTTCACAAGTAGTCCTGAAAGATCGGTAATGAATGTAGTCTTCTCGGACGTTAGGTCTTCTTGGGAGCATGCAGATTTTGGTGGCCTACATTTAATTTGGGCCAAGCTGAGAATATGAAATGCAAAACTTCGAGAACTATCAAGGAAGTAAGCAAGTAAGCCAACCTTTAATTTATCTTGTGATAAATACGCTTTTCGTGTTATATTTAGTATTCCCAGAGGTAAAATATTTCATTTATCTCGTAAATGAACCTGCGTCACTGCTTTGCTGAGTTTGTTGATTTTGTCACAAGTTATATATGAATATAAGATTAGTCAGCGTTGTTGTCTGTGATCATACGAATTCCAAATTGATTTTGAACGATTTTTACCTTATTCAAGTATAGCGTTTGTCTTATTTGTGGTATTTTTGATTACCCTCAGTGCTTGTTCGCTAACAAGTGAACGGCGTTCAATGTGATAATGAAAACAAAACTCGACCTGACGGCTTTAAACAAATTTTTCAAGTTGGTAATTTCAGTTTCAGTATTAAATGACGCCGAGGGAAATAGAGCCTACCACATGCTATGCGCGTGTATGCGGTACGCCTACTAGCCCTACAGTCAGTGGACTTCAAAGGGGCTTTTGATGGACATTATTACAACATGAAAATCGAAAATTACATGACCTAGATCTGGAACGGCTGATGACAATGGAAGAGTAGCAAAACTCATCGTGGCAGAACCGGCCGAGACACGTTTGACCCGTCCATAATAATGAGAATTATCATAATATTATCCTTCACAGTCTCCAAACCAAAATAATCGAGACTGGAGGTGTAAATGGACGTACTTCGAAACGTGTACTGCGACACTTTTAACTTTGGTGACTACTCGTCATGTGAAAGGGAATCGATCCGAATTAAATTTCCTCTTAATTCCTATTCTGTGGCGAATGAAATCTTCCGATATGGTTATTGCAAACTGGAGACGAAGCATTTTAAGTTGAATCGTAACGCAAGATTTATTAATTTAAAAAGCAAAACTATTTAATTATTATTTTTTGAAATGTATTGCAGCAGAGTATTTGAACTTTTTCTTCGTGAAGACTTGTGATTTTAGTTTACGATGAAGGATTTTGTTTTGAATTCTGCTTAATCAATGACGTGGAACGGTTTACGTTGTATCAAGGTAGGCCACTGGCCTACCTTGATACAACGTATGACACCTTCTATGACTAACTTTCTGTTCATTAATTAGTTAGCTACGTCGTAGGTCAATCAAATGCTTTTTACTTTGCTAGTCGTCGCATACGTTTTTAGATAGTCACGAAATCTCCGTCAATCGTTGCTAACAGCTAGAACTCTATTGGCAGAACGATTTTGCAGAAGGCAAGGTGTGGAAACTCACCACATCTAACTATATTTCCTCCTATGCAATGCATAAACTACTTAGCGCCTACATGAGGAAATTGATTTTTTAAGCATTTCATTTCATTTGAGTATCTGAGATTCATCGCTTGAGACTAGATCCGGCTCAGTCAACTAATAACTTAGACAGTCGAGCACATTTTTATCCCTAACGACTTATGAGACGTTCAAACCCTAGACAATAAAGTTCCGTGAGTTAAAACGTTATTTGAAACGATTGTCACACCAGTGATGCGAAGAAGAGATAGTTTTACTGTTCCTCGATTATTTCCAGGGTGGTTAAGCGATTAAAAGGCTCGGATTAATTTCATAATCAAACTTCAGCCTCTGTTTCCGTGTGATGATGAATTCTCTTCATGAAATTAATGATCAATTCAACAAGTACTTTTGACGAGATCGCAGTAAAAGGCATGCCCAAACTTGGCCGCTACGTATGCTCGTTTGTGTTCGCGGTAAATACTCAGCTGTTAAAAAAAAATCAAATGAAATGACTTTGTGTGCTCTTAAACGTCACAAAACCAAAAATGAATCTAACCTTTCTCTCCTCAGCTAATATTTGCTTTCCTTTTCAGTACTTGCGTGGAATCAATTATTTTTCATTCGACCGAACATTAGCTTGCCAGACAGTTAATGACTAGAAGCTTGTGAAATAGAGCAACCTATCAGGTCGCCTTAACACCGTTCACGTGAGGTCTGGTATTTTCTCAGTATCGGGCTCTGTCCCGACTGATCCTGCGCGACTTAATGACATACTCATGGTTGCACAGTGTGCGGGAAATGTTTTGTAAAATTCGAGAATGGATAGCTGGAAATGCTATACTTTAAATGTTAAACATATTAGTAAATTATGCAAGTACTAGTTGTTGATCCCTTTCTAATCAAGGCGAATGAAAAATTGATTTGAATGTGCCATGCTTTTTGGGGTCTTTGGAAGTATTACCAATCAATATGTATATGTATTGTGGGAGGAAAAAGACAAATAAACTACGAGTTCATCCGAACAGACCTGCTTCTTGGTTGCCCACTCATCAGGGGATTTAGTGAGAATAATCTTTACCATCACTTGTATACAATATAATCTAATTTATGTAGCGCGAAATTTAACAGTTTAGTTTCAGTTTTTCCTCCCACAATGCATACATCGCTCTACTCCTGTGTATTGAGCACCGTTTTACGAAAGTCAAAATTTTACACTTTGTGTATATATATCTTCCTCGAGCAGTTGATTGGTTAAATGTTTTTAAACTGTGACAGGAGCCCCGCTCCTGACTGTGATTAACAGAGGACTAATGTAAACTATTCTAATATTCTTTTTTGTGCAAAGCTGTACATTTTTCTAACGTTAGACTAGATTTAATTATTTTGACAGCCCGGAATGATGATAAATTTCATGGCATGGGTTTAGTACATCTGTATAAACACGAATGTGGTTTGCTTGAATCGACAAATTTGTCACTTTTGAATTGTCTCTCCTTTTTCTGCATGTACTTTGTGGTCATCTTCGTCGTACTTTTCGTGTTAGTTAATGAGTGTTCTAGCGAGCGATTTATGTGTGAACTTAATACGCAGGGTTTGATGGATCTACGAGAGAAAAAATTTTTATGTGTGAACGATTTTTACTTTATTCAAGAGTAACGTTTGTCTTAATCGTGGTATTGTCGATTAATTCCAATACTTGTTCGCTGATAAGTGAACGGCGTTTAATGTGATATTGAAAACAAAAATCGACATGACGGCTTTGAACAGATTTATCGAGTTGGTAATTTCAGTATCAGTATTAAATGACGCCGAGGGAAATAGAGCTACCACATGCCATGCGCGGGTATGCGGTCTCATAGAAGATTTTGATGGACATTGTTACACCATGAAAATCGAAAATCACACTGGTCGATTTCTAGAACGGCTGAAGACAAGGTAACACGGTAGCGACACAAAAATCGTCGTGGCAGAACCGGCCCAGACACATTTGACCCGGCCATAATGATCAAAATGACCCTTAAAATCTTCTTCACAGTCTCCAAAGGAAAATATTTGAGACCGAAACAATGCAGCTATTTTTGTGGCCTCTGGACAGTTTTAATTTCATCACTAGTTTATGCTATGTATCTGTACGTCATGTCGTAATCGCCAATAGAAGCGCCTTAAATCGACTTTCCGGGGTCTGTAATCGACAAATTTCTGTTTTCCTCAAGACACTGGGGGTGTAAATAAACGTACTTCAAAACGTGGACTACGACACTTTTAAGTGTGGCTTGCTCTTGTGACTACTCGTCATGTGAAAGGGAATCAATCCGGATTAAATTTTCTCTTAATTATTTTTCTATGGGGAATGAAATATTTCGATATGGTTGTTGCAAACGGGAGACGAAGCATATTGAGTTGAATAGTAACGCAATATTTACTTGTTTTAAAAGCAAAACTATGTTATGTTTATTTTTTCGAAATGTAGAGCAGCGCAGTATTGTAAGTTTTATCTTCGTGAAGTCTTATGATCGTAGTTTATGATGATTTTGTTCTAAATTCCTCTTAATTAATGACGTGGAAAGGATTACTAAGTTGTGTCAAGGTAGACCATACCTTCTATGACTTACTTTCTGTTCTTTAGTTTACTACGTACGTCATAGGTAAATCTCACGCAAATTGTTCTCAATTTTTTAGGGAATGTCGATGTTTGAATGCATCTTACTTTGCTACCTGCTATGCCTGAGTAAATGCTGTGCCCAACAAATTGTTTTATTGGAATGTTTAGAACTGTCAGCGACCGAATGTTTTTTGAATAAATCGTCGCTTACGTTTTTAGATAGTCACATAATTTCCGTCAATTGTTGCTAAAACCGAGAAAATTATTGGCATAACGATTTTGTAGAAGGCGAGGTGTGGAAACTCACCAAATCTAACTTTATTTCCTCTTATGCAATGCATAAACTACTAGAGACGAAGCATACTAGGTTGAATTGTTATGCAAGATTTATTTGTGTAAAAAACAAATCTCTTTTATTGAATGAATGAATGTGGTTCAGCACAGTATTTTAACTTCTATCTGCGCAAAGACTTGTAATTTTACTTTAAAATGATGTGGAAAGGATTACTAAGTTGTGTCAAGGTAGGCCATACCTTCTATGACTTACTTTCTGTTCATTAGCTTATTACGCCATAGGTAAGTTTCACGAAAATTGTTCTCAATTTTTCAGGGAATGTCTATGTTTGAATGCATTTTACTTTGCTATCTGCTATGCCTGAGTAAATGCTGTGCCCAGAAAATTATTGTATGGAAATGTATAGGTCTGTCAGTAATCGAATGCTGTTTTGAATAGGTCATCATTTTCGTTTTCAGATAGTCAAAAAATTTCCGTCCATCGTTTTTAAAAGCTAGAAAATTATTGGCAGAACGATTTTATAGAAGGCAAGGTGTGGAAACTCAACACATCCAACTTTATTTCCTCTAGCAACGCTTAAACTACTGAGCGTCTCCATGACGAAATCGATTTATTAGAGCATTTCATTACATTTTAGCGCGTGAAATTCATCGCTCGCGACTAGATGCGACTCACTTAACCAATGATAAATAGATAACTCAGACAGTCGAGCACATTGTTATCGTTAACGACAAATAAGACTTTTAAACCCACGCAGAAAGTAAAGTTCCGTGAGCTACTATACACTTACTTGAAACGACACCAGTGATGCGAGGAAGAGAAGGTTTGACTGTTCCTCGACTATTTCCAAGGTGCTTAAGCGATAAAATAGCTCTCAAAAATTTCATGGTCAAATTCCAGCCTCTGTTTCTGTGTGATGATGAATTCTCTTCCTGAAATTAACGATCAATGCAACAAGCACTTTTGACAAGATCACAGTAAAAGGCATGTCCAAACTTGCCCGCTGCGTATGCGCGTTTGTGTTCACAGTAAAAACTAAGCTGTTACAAAAAAAATATCAAAGAAAATGGCTTTCTGTGTTCTTAAACGTCACAAAACCGAAAAACGAATCTAGCCTTTCTATCCTGAGCTGATATTTGCTTTCCTTTTTAGTATCTGCGTGGAATCAATTATTTTGTATTCGACCGAACTTTAGATAGCCAATTAACCAATCCAAACCGGTGAAATAGGAGCAACCAATCAGATCACTTTACCACCGTTCATATGAGGTCTGGTATTTTCTCAGTATCAGGCTCTGTCCCGAACGATCCCGCGCGACTTAACGACATAGTCATGGTTACACAGTGTGCGAAAATCTTTTGTAGAATTCGAGTATAGATAGCTGGAAATGCTGTATTTTAAAACTTAGCGCTAAACATATTAGTAAAGTATGCAAATACTAATTGCTGATCCCTTCCTAATCAATGGGAAAGAAAAGTTGATTTGAATGTGGCATGCAATTCGGAGTCTTGGGAAGTATTACCAATCGATATATATATATATAAACTACGTTGAATTAGGGGGAAAATGGGGAAAAACAGAGACTACGCTAAGATTTTAGTCACGTCCTCCGTCCTCAAAAGCTATGCAAACCCAAGACGCTGTCAAGGGTTCGCATAACTTTCTCGAATTCTCCCAACTCTCCCTCATGCTTAGATGAAAGTATAAGTATGTCAACATGGAAAAAATTATGCACTGCTTAAATATAAGATTAGTTCGCATTGTTGTCTATGATCATGCAAATTTCAAATTTGATTTTGAACGATTTTCACCAAATTCAAGAGGTGAGGTAAGTCTTGGTCTTATTTGTGGTATTGTCGAACTTCGGCAAATTTCCGCTGAAAAGGGAGAACGTTTTGTGCGATACAGAAAACTAAATTCAACATGACGACTTTCGCTTTCTCTTTTCTCTTGCCTCTCAAGTTGGTAATTTCTGTTCCAATATAAATCACGCCGAGAAATTCGACCACGCCGCAAGCCATGCGTGTGTAAGTGCATGAAAATCGAAAATGTCATAATCTATTTCTAGAACGGTTGAAGACAAGGAAATTTAATCGAGCTGATTTATTCCACATTGCACTCGAAATCATGTGATTACCTATAATAACCTAGGGTCAAAATAGCCGAGTAAGAGTTAAACTATCTCTTCTTCGCGGCACTGGTGTCATTTCATGTTTTCATTTTAGCTTTTAAACACAGTTAATGGAAATTCTATAAGGTTATCCATAAACGCGTAAACGATTATTTCTTCAAGAAAACACTCGGTTGACGCTGACAGATGTATCGATTTCCCAACTGTGACAGTTCACCGTCTCGTCTGGTGAATATGTAAATATCCTTTCGCTTAGTTCTGTCTCAATCGACGAAACGGAGGAGGCGAATCATGATGAAAAAAATTAAAGAAATTCTTTGTAGTTTTACTGATCTTTGACAGAAGGTCGAAAAATACGAAGACTTATTTTAGCCAAAAACGAGCACCTACACGAAATTGGAGAGAGAGTGGATGGTTTCTGAAATAAATACAATTTATCTTTAAATTACTCCTAAATCAAGCCTTGGGTCGCTAACCCAATATCTGAAACGAAAAGATCTCCCTTTTAAAATGAATTATCAGAGCATTTTTCACACGGCGCAGGAAAATCTATGGTGCGTTACTTTTTCTCGCCTTTAGCAAGTTAAAAGATACATATTACAAGCCGTAAACAAGAGTTGAACAGAATAATAATCTCGACGGACAGTACACGTTTAAGTCCACCTGTCAAAGTTGTGAATTTAGCGTGCCCAAAAGTTATAAGTAAAATGACTTAAACACGTCGACTAACTGCATTCTATAGCAAGAAGAGTTTTCCAAAGAAAGTAATACAAATATCTGCACTATGAAGAAGAAATCCCGTTAACTTCCTTAAGCCGAAGTAGACGAAGATGAAAATGCATTACCGCGATTTCTCGCAGAATATTTAATATTTCACCTTTAAAAATGAATTCTCTGTGCATATTCCTACACGGTGCTAAATCATTAATAAAAAAAGGAAACAAATCCAACCTTCGCCTGCTTCATCGACATTTCCTCGCTCCGCTCGTTCATTCTTGTCCAAGAGCAAGTCCAAACGGAGATTTTATGAGAAGACGCAAAACTACATTCTCTAAAAATATTTACTGAGATATTTGTTACATTTGCAAAGGAGACTTCGTAAGATCATGAAAGTTTGAAAAGTTAGAAGCCTAAAATCGAGTTCATCATTTTATTTTGCTGACTACGTTCTAAGTCAAGTTTTAAGCAACAAATCTTTGCCAGAATCTAACATTATTTGGAGGTTAGATCGTCTGGCTTTGAATGTCCAGTGCAAAACATTTCAGTTTTGTAAAGCGGGAAAGATTGTTTCTAAATTTATTTTTTACTACTAACCTTTTACA